GAGCTTAAGGGTCGAGCTCACCCCATGAGGGGATTTCACGGCGGACTGCGCCTCAAACCATAACAAGGACACGGTGAAAAGTATATTGAGCAAATCGATAATTAAATTCGTTAGTTTATTGTAGGGAAATTAATATACCCAAAAGTATATTTCAAATTAAAATGTTATTATATAAAATTATATTCCTTTAAGTTTTCCAAAAATTAAAAATTTGTTCTCTGTGTACAAGATGCACGTATCGTTGCCCTGGGAAAGTTTTTATGCGAAGGATTCTTTTCGCCGCGGCAGGAATAGCGAGGAGCAGTAAAGAAATCAATTAAGTGTGTGCCGCCATGTGGGCGAGGGAAGGGCTCGAGGGAGCATGTCGGGATAGGAGGAGGCGGTGCTTTGGCGATAGATAATAATGAACGATAAGTGTTAGAGCTGCCGCCTCCCATCTGTCACCGCCCATGGCCATAGGCCATCTAGCCACCCCGCCAGCCCGCCAATCCGCCAAGTCGCAACCCGCGATGACTGGGGGAATCCTTGAGCCGCTTCGAGAGCATTGTTTGACATCTTCCCCCTCTGCTTCACGGCGTTTGTTGACTGCCGAGCTGAGTGCATGTGTAAATTTAGCTAACATTTTAAGTGTCAACTTGCTGCGACAACTATAGTCGGGCTACCGGCACGCCCAGGAAGTCGTGAAAGGATGCGGGTTGGGGCGGCTGTGTGTGATTAATGGCACGCCGCAATATATACTGTGTCTATAAATGGAAATATCAAGGGATACTGGTGCTCGGCCAGAAACTAAAATGTTCTGCACGGAAAGCATATGAAAGGTCTAGCAATTCCAGGGAAAGTCGAGGTACTCCTGCCTGATTTATGTCAGACAGAATGCCTAATGAGCGGAAACATATAGTTCCTGGAAGGCTGAATTTAGTTGCGTTTATTTGGGGAAATAATTATTTCCATAAAAATTACAGACATCTAAGTAGACTTATCTTGTGAGGCGTTCAGCGTATAATTGCGTCCCACAGTCAAAATAGTCGTAGTCCTGTAAGTACATTTTAAGTTCCTGCTCCTTCGCCCAGCGAAAGCGGACGAGCACGAAACTGTTCCAAACAGCGGCAACTGTGATTAATCGTCGCGATGGCTGCTCCTCGTCGACTGTCTTGCCGTCGTGGGTGCGGCCGCGAGTTGACGGAGTAAAATTGTTCTGGCAAGCCGGAAAAGTCTAGTTAACAGAATATTACGCATTACATCAGCTCCCAAAAGTAGCCGACATGCATGCATATTTTTCCATTTTTCCGGCCGGAAAGTAAGAGGGTACGGGTAAGAGCTGAGCTAGATGGATGGCTGGAGTTCGCGGAATTGCTGGCTTTTCGTGGTGAGAGTATTTGAGGTTCCTTGAGGCACGGCTCAATATCGTCTTAAGCCGCTTGTCGTCCAAACTGGGAAAATGTGTTCACAGCTAACTTGCCGGTATGTTTAATTAACTTACAGGTTACGCACGAAATTCATTAGAATGCGACTGGCGGCGAGTCTGCAATTGAATCTCGACGCATTCAGTTGAAGGGAGCAGATGGCATCGCTCCTGTTCACCTTTATTCGTGCCGTGGCTGAAAATTAAAATTTCAATGGTTTTCAGACCATGTTGTGGGTTTCGCTTCGCTTTGATCGTTGCGAAAAATCATAAATATATAAAACGAACAGAAATTAAATCAAATTGCGTGCTTAAGCTGCCATGGCCAATGAAAACAAAATGTAGATATATACGAAAAAATACCGAGCGCCGCACCTGAATCCGATTTCCTTTTTCCCGAGTTTTCCCTTTCCGACGGTGTTCTGTTCCACGTTCACCGTTTTCCCCGGTGGCCGCTTGTCGCTGACATGTGAAAGATATTTTAAAGTAAATATTTGCGCAGTGTTTGCGGTGCCGTGGATTGAGGATTGTTTTTTGTTTTCGCCCCATAGGCAGGGCACATTCGCAGAGCGGCTGACGTGGCGTATGCGTGATGCGGTGTGTGCGCAGCGAAAACCCGACCGATTCACTGCAGATAAGCAATGTGCCGAGGGACACGCGGCGGATGAGCAATGAGCATGCGATTAGTTGCACTTATCCCCAGGGGCAGTGCCACTAGCAGAGGAATGGCACTCAGGGAAGTCGAATTGAGCTGAAATCCTGATCGGATTTGCGGGAGGTGAACTTGATTTGCCTTGAAGCCGAGCAGACAAGCGGCCAAGCCGACAGTTCCCGCAAAATATTGCTTGGTTTAAAGAGAATTTAAATAATTCGAGCACGATTATTAAATATTCAGAAGAAATAGTATTTGTGCTACCAAGGGACAATAAGAAGAACCACCGAGTTAAATAGTTTAATAGTTTTTCTAAATTATAACAAACCTTAAACCTAAATTTACTTTAAGGAACTACAAGTATTGTAGCTATTTTATGCTTGAATTCTTATACTTACTATTTTCTTAGCTTTAAAGATTCGCCTCTAAATGTGTCAGTGATATTCGCCTCACTTGTATCTTAAATTACAAAAGTAAAAGCATCGCCCGAAGCCCTCTTGAAATACTTCCTGCACGATGAACAAATTAAATACACGCCAAAACACCTTAAACTCGTGCCATTTCCTTATTTATTGACTTGACCAGGGCGGCAAACAGGCGAAATTGACCCACATAAGCGTCTTCGTCGTCGGTTTATGTACACATTTCGATGAAGTGACAGACAAACAGGGGTAGCCTTGGCTCGGCTTTGGGTTTGGTACGGACATTTTCGGTGTTTTGGCTACCTTTCGCTGTTTTACGACTTAATGACTCCGCCGGGATTAATATGACTAATGGTGCTCCGCTCTACATTCGATACGGGCGTCAGCCCGGACTCGAGCGAAGCCGTTCCCCTTCGCCGCGGAAATATGGCCTTTGTGCAATTCATGTCCAAGGGGAGGGCACAAAATAATAATTATGGGTTTCAGGGCCCGACTTCGTTGGGTTTTTTCGTAATGTGCTGACATGCTATTTTTTGCCTGTCAGGCGAAATTCCAGGCCTACGTGAGGACGCTTACATACTCTGTAGGCCTGCGGAAATTGGTAAAAGTTAATGATACAAAAATAAATAATAGAAATTAAAAATTATTTAATTTCCGGTACCGATAGCAGGGTCGAGGAGAACCAAACAAAGTGCGATCTTACTGCTGCACTATTTATATAGTATAAACCACTTTTTACATAATAGGGCTTGTTCGAATTTAACATTTTAAGTGTATCATAAAAATCGTGTTATCCATAAATTTGTGACGTTGTATCCCCAAACAAGAAGACCGATAGTGCTGTCTGTTTTTCAACTAATCTATAAATATAAATGTGGCAGTTGGAAATTTAAACACTTGACTCGGACAAACAAACAAACACACACACACACACAGGCTGGCCGGCCCGGCCCACTTGACACGCACCGCACCGACCTTTTGGCCCCGTACGAGTCCTCGTCGTACAGTTGAAGTGGCCGCTCGCCTGTCATTAGCCGGCTGTGACTACAAGTTGGCCAACAGCACAGGGCAAACAAACAGTTTATCAAGGCGGCTGGGCCGAATGGTCTCGGCAAGGGTCAGCTCCAAGTGGGAGCCAGTCCCACTTATCGGTGGCATGCATCACTCAGTCAGTCGGGAAATTAATTAACAACAACATTGACACTTGAGCATTTGACAGAACGTGCAGACAGTGCCCAGTTCCCACCTACCAGCCACCAGCTGCCCGTTCCCCTGCCATAGCCACTACTTGGGAGTCAACAAGGTGTTGTCAAGTTGAGGTCCTTTCCCAAAGTTGCTCGATTTGCTCCACTCAGCCGGCCGTTCCTTCGATCCTTCGATTGTTGTGTACTGTTTTGCGATGTCGTGCCTGCTGCTGTGCCTGCAGTGGAAGAAAAGGTTGTCTAAACAATGCGTAGGCCGAGAGACTCTCATAGGGTAATCAAAAGTTATTATAAATTCCGCTCCTGGCTTTTCTCCCAGTGTGTCTTCTCACTTGTTTGTCTGGCCGACCGCAGAACCGCTTCTAAAATAGCCCACTCCTGTCGCTGCTCTCGGTAGGACGACCTGACCACTCTTAGTTATGCTTCTGCGGCTGGGGAATTGTGTTATTCCTTTGTTTTGGAAATAAATTTCATTTCAGTGCTGTTTGGGGCCCACAAACAGTCCACCGACGCCTGCGGTCTCCGCCTGCGGTTGGCTGGGGCCTTTGAATTCGAATTCGGTGCCGGAATTCTCGGCCGCTGTCTGTTCCGTGAAATATGTCTCAATTAATTATCCGTGTTTGTGACATACGCATACGGAGAATTGATTTGATTTCTGCTATTGTTGCTTATCAATATCGATTTCGATTATTCAAATGCCCTTCGCCCTGCGTTCGCCCTTGATTCCTGCAAATCAAATGCAATTATGTCGTCCAATCGCCTGAACTGAGAACGGTAAATAGGGTAAACAAAGGGGGACTGTGGTGGCTGTGGGCGGGGATAATTTATGGGGCCCATTAATTATTACTCACGGCGTTCTGCTATGAATTATCGAGACTTAAAGCCAATTGGGGCAAAACCAAACCCGACGAAGGGCAATTATTTGGAATTTATAAACTAGCTTATGTGTTTTAATGATGTCCTTCGACTTGGGCGATGCCTGTAGCAGTATCTCCTATTGGCAATTGAGTTTAATTGACCTCATGTTCCCAGCAATTGAAAGTAAATTTAAGAATTTGAATAGTAAGCAGGGGCTAAGTGCTGGTTAAAGACAAACAATTGAATGACAAGTAATGACAATATACATATAGCAATATACAATATAGCAATGAAAAATATTATAAAAGGCTTCAAATAAAGTACAAAATAAATCATGTTAATATAATTTTGTACTAAACTAGTTTCAAATTAGTTTATAGCAATAAGTATGCAAAGTCCTTAGTCTTCTGCTTGCTTAAACAGTTTTCTTTAATTTCCCCGTTCTCTGTGTTTCTTCATTGCAGCACAAACTTCCGGCAATTTGGTGCCATAAAATGTTTGCCACCAATATCCGTTTGGTCGCCCTCGCCACTGCCGTTGTCCTAGTGCCGTGAGCCGCCTTGCTCTTCCGCTTATTTCCGGTGCTGCCGTTTCCGCCATTTTACATTTGCAATTCGAATTGCCGCGCAAGGGCTTTGCGATTGCCGATTGCCATTGACGTTTTCTATTTTTCTGTTGCATATGCGTCGGCTAATTAGCATGCGGATTTTGCAGCAGCAGCACGAATCCGAGTAGAGCGCACAATAGGAATAATAACGCGGAATGGAAGAGGATGTGTATGCCTCGCTAGGTTCCTACAACGACAGCGTCGGATTCGGCGCCGGGGACTGGAGCAGCGCCGAGCAGCTGGAGCTCTGGACAGCCGAGGAGGAGGAGACGGAGGGCGTATTGCCCATCGGCAACGGAAGCCATCAGCATAATCCCCATCTGGCTGGGAGGTGGAACGTCAGCCGCGCCAATACCACCGTTTGGCCCACTGTCGCGGACGTGCCCTTTGACGCAAACAACTACTGGGCATTGTTAGCCCTCGTCCTGGTCCTGGGCACGGCCGCCGGGAACATCCTTGTCTGCCTGGCCATCGCCTGGGAACGCCGGCTACAGAATGTGACGAACTACTTCCTTATGTCGCTGGCCATTACCGATCTGATGGTCGCCGTTCTGGTCATGCCGCTGGGCATCCTTACTCTGGTCAAAGGTGAGTCCATTGTTCCCCATTCACCTCTAGGCAAAGCTATTTTTCCTGCCATTCATTATTCTTCAATTCTACAGAAAAATATTCCAGTAAAAGCAATCTTCAAAAAGATAGTTTGTATTACTAATTGGAAAATAGTTTAAAATAGTCGTTTGGGAAAGAAAAATTAATTTAAATTAACAAATAATAATAGTAAAAACAAGAAATCTAGGAATGCTGTATACCCATGCATTTGCATTCGACGCTAAGTGAATGTTTATATATAAACATCAGATTTTCATAAGTTTAAAACATAAATTCTGAAATTAAAGATGGTAATTGACAAATTCCCTCGACTTTTGATAATGATCAACATTACACAGTCGTATATTACACCTCGCTACGTTGAAAACTTCTGTCTAAAATTATAACACCTTCCATGGATATGATTATAACATTATAGATGCGGATAATTATAAATCTACTTCGATAGTTCGTTCTGAACCATTCCTGTTGATCAAAAGGTTTTTGTAGATCCTGCTATTTAGACTTTTTCAATAACTTAATTGAGAAGAAATGGAATTGAAAGTGCAAAAATTGTTTTATTTTCAATCGGAGATTTAATTTTACCGATCTTGTATTCGGTTTTTAAATGTGCTTCGGTTCAACTCTTCAGTCACCTTTGTCCGATACTCAAATAATTTAAATAAATTCGTTTTCGTAACAAAGCTGCAAAGTATCAAGCCTTAAAAATTTTTAAAATTATGTTACTTTTAATCGTCTCAAAATGGTGGAGTTTGTTGAATTGAAAGTGCCACGGTCTTCATCTTATATTTCAGCTACTTAGTTTGTGCTAGAGGTGATTTTGTTTAATATTGAAGAACTACAACTTATACATATTTTTCCGTAATAATTTCCTGATATTTCCTTTGGCATTCAATGAACCCATTTTGGTGAAAGAAGAAGAATATACGTTTATTTTAAGTTTGAATTGAATTTTAATTTTAAAAATATGAACTCTTTACAAAAATAAGTTGCTGTAAGTTCAGGGCTCGATCAATTTTAAAAATGTCGCCTCGAGAAAGGCTATAAGAATCGATGCCAGAGCAGCCACGTAACGTGAGCCTGGACATCCGGCGCAGGTCCTTGCTGAGATCCGGCCAACACGGGTTGGCACGAGTTGCACTTAATGAAGCTGCTGGTGATTGCATTATGTGGCTCAGATATTTCGATCAAAGCCAGATAGAAAAATGGCATCGAGGGGGCAGTCAGACAATTTAATAAGTGCGCCGCCTTTGTTGCATTTGCTGGCTTTGTTTGCTTGGCCTGGTCGAGGCGCTGCCGGAGACAAGCTGCAAAACAATGGCAACGGATGGCTACGGAAGCACTGCAGCAGCTTTGCCGAGCAGTGGAGCGAGGGCAGCATAAAAATTGCATTAGAGGCGGCAAACGAGCACTAGCAAATTTCGCTGGAAGCTTGCTCCGCGCTGCCTTCTTCTGCAGACATCTGCCAGCAGATTTTTATTCCAAGCCAACTACACTGCTAGAAAGCGGAATACCTAAATTACATTTGCGAATTCTTCGTTTAAGGATAACGAAATGAATCTCTGTCACTGTCACTGAACTCTGTACCGTCGCTTACTTGGTTTTTAGGGAGAAAATGACTGTTTTTGTAAATTAAAGCTTAAATTAAATAAGCAATACTATCAAAAAGAAAATAGACTTTTTAGTAAGCTTAAGATCTTCTTCGTGAAGGTCTTTGCCTTTGCCATCAGTTTTTAAAAAATCAATTCTGGTTGTAGAACTGATTTTATCCGACTGCATCTAAGTCCTTCCGGGGAAGTCCCCTATCCCCAGCACCCCTCTTTAGTCACCACCAGCTGCTGCAGTGGTGACAGTTTTGTTTGTGCGCTTTGGGAGCCATTACAAACACAAACACAAACAGAAAAACACACATGACACACGCACAGTCACCTGGAGCAATCCTGGCGAATCCTTTGCGACTGGCAAAGTGAGCAATGCAGATGGGGAAGGGAAACGGGGAAAACGGGGGAAAGGGACTGCAGTGCCAACAAAATGGCTGCTTGTTATATCAAGTGTGAAAAATATTGCAGGCTGGCAGCGGCCCAGACACGCGTTGGCAACTAAAAGCAAAAAAGGACGAAATCGGGATTTACCTGCTGTCAAAAGCCCTCGACGCAGCTTCACCAACGGAAGCCTGAATCTGCCGCCATCATGCAGCATTAGATCGCAAGGATTGGGCTCTAACAACGCCAAGGAAGGGCCTCCTTTTGTCATTACAGGCCCGTCAAAAGTAACTGGATAAGATATGGCCTTGCAGTACATTAATTGCACAGGGAAAGCTGCCACAAGTCTGGGAAAATTAAAAATATTCAGATCTTTCTACTTTTGCTGGCTATTAAAGTTTTAGTCAGGAGATTGCAACGCAGTAAAGGAGTCATTTCTGGCCCTATGAAGTATGTATAATACCTATACATTGTAAATTTGTTCAGCATTAACAGCCGTGCCGATCTAGCCATGTCCGTCTGTCTGTTATTACGCAATATAGTCCCTCAGATTTAAAGCTTTTTGAGTGAAACTTCGCAGATAGTCTTCTGTTTTTACTACTATGTACATATATATAAGATGTCGGAACAAGCCGGATAACTATATCTTATAGCTGCCATAGAAACGATCGGTAGATGTACAGAAAAATGTAAAGTTGTGAGTGTAAAATTGTAACTGTCAAACTTTAAAGATAACAAGTATATGTAAAATGTAATGGGACTTTGTTTTGTTTTTTTTAGCATTTAAATATATAATGTTTATTATATTATGTATTTAAATCTAAAATATAGTTTTGTATACTATTAAAGTTTTTTTATTTTAAATTTTATCAAAACCAAATTATTATATTTAATGTATAATTATGTATTATGATCCAATTGCAAACTACAAAGCTTGTATGTCCAGCTTCGGCGTTCCAAAGTTAGCTACATACTTGTCATATTTTTAATAAGACCCAGTATTTATTTTTTACTGAAAACTTTGGTTAGACAAGACCTAGCGTCTCGTATTATGCGCCATGAAATGAAATACCAACTAAGATTAAAATAAGATGTTTTTGAAGACGCAAATACAAAACTTTGAATCGAGCTACAACTTTTTGTTTAAAAAATCCACTACACTTAAGTAGTGAATTATTACAGGCCTAGCTGTGTTTAGAGAGTTTGGTATATTCGAAAAAGGTTCAAAGAATAGGTTCACTTTATTCCCAAAAATAAACCATTTCACAAAACAATCAAGGATTAAAAAGCATACTAATTCTTTTTGCATAGACTAAGTTAAGGTAATAGCTTATGGATAAAGTATTTAAAAAAGTATTTTATAGCCATAAAACTCTTTAAAGTTGTCAGTTGGCTTGTAATGCATTTAGCGGTCCTCGTCCCCGCCCATTTGATCACTCGATAACTGACCACATGACCAATTTAATTAGAGGCGGTATGACGTAATGGGCACTGAGTCCTCTTCGCCTACTGCAGCTGTGATGTAAATGCGTGAATTATGATTGCTTAATTACAATGTAATTAATGCATAATTGATTTCAATTTAAAATCTGCATGAAATGCCAGTTAATTAATAACGGTAAACGCAATTTCTGTATTGCCATCAAAAGGCAGAAAATGAAATTACAGCACACCATCGATGGCTGTGAATATTTGAGTAAATGCGAAAAGCTCGCAAAATGTTTGCAACTTAATAAATTATACTGGGGACGTCAACTGATAAATAAGAGGACAGCCGCAATTTGAAAAAAAGAAGGAAAGGAAGGCCAAGCGGAAAAAAACCAAGAGAAGGAAGGCAGCCAAAATTAATTGAGCGCAAATTGGTGAAGCTGCGATTTACATTGCCCGCGTCAAAAAATAAGAGCAAAACAAAATAGGCAATGAAATTTTACACAGATATCTTACATTGCAAAAAAGTGGGGGCGGTGCTGAGATGGAAAATGGAAAATGGGCCCACAAATTCTGGGGATTCTAGACGGCGCGTGGCTTACCCGGGTAAAATCAGCCAGAAACAATGGGCAGGGAACGAATTTATCATTCTACTGTCGCTGCCAAAGTTGTTGTTGGCGTTGTCAAAAAGCATTTTAAGCGCTTAAGCCAGAGCATAAGCTGCGACACGCACAAATCTACACAGCCGAGTGGAAGAGTGGCAGGGATTCACTTTTTCAGCGAACCTATGGGTTTCCCCCAACCAGCTGGACTGAATTTTTAAGACCCAACAAAATATGCTGTTTCCATGGAATCCGCTGGCTGAAAAAAGGTTTCGAAGCGGATAGTGACACTCGGTATGAATGCGGTGAATAGTTGTTTTCATAAATTTTTAAAAATAACTAAGCATCGTTTTTAATACAGACCTTAAAGAGGAAAACAGCTGCAACAAGTTAATTTAGTTTTTATTCTTTTTTTCGGTATATAAACTTTCCTTTGAGCTTCTCTCCAGCAAAAAATATTTTAAATAAAACAAACATTGCAAAAATTAAACATATCAGGCTGCGTGGAAACTCAAATTTATTTAGAGAAACGCTGACCAAAGAAGATATTTAAATGGGCTGCGTAAAATCAATTCACAGACTGTCATCAATAAAATACAATCAATTTCTGGTTGTATTTGATATTTTAATATTCAGCAAGCTGCACAATTTGGAGGAACCTTTAAGCAAACATTGCGATATCCGAGTGGAAAGCCCAACTGGGAACGCTTCGTTTGGCAATCAGATTCTTTCATTTCATAGATAAACGAGCCGCAATGAGCCAATGCCAAAGTTAAGGCCGAACTTGGCTAAACTTTTCCGCCCCGACCGCCAGTCCACCCAGTCCGCCAGCTGCTCCTCTTTCCCATTGCCGCCGCTAGTTGGCTTTATCATAAATCTTTAAGCTACCTGGAGGCACTGCTTTCCAATGAGCAGGAGCAGGAGCAGGACTAGGGGGCGATGCTTTCGGTGTGGGGAATTGACATGT